GCGGTGGAACTCAGCAAGAAAAATGTGTCCGGTTTTGGGTGCTGCATGTACGAAAGAAAAGGCAGGGAAGAATAAGAGAAATGGTAACAGATTTAGGAAACATGACCTGTGAGGGAAGATTGAGAGAACTGAATTTGTTTAGTCTAGCAAAGAGATGTGGAACATGCATTTTTCGATAAGCATGAGATTGTTGTAAGGAAGGTGGCAGACTATTACGCCGTGTATCTTGTGGGGAGTGCTAAAATCTCTTTCTGTTGCAAAATATTCCTCATCGTGTAAAATGTGAAGGGAAAAAAATTACATCCTACAGGCTAGCCAGGTACTGGCCTGATCAAGTGCTGTGTAGGGAAGCTGAAGGAAACCTTTCCTCGGAAGGTTTGTTGGCAAATTTAGATGGGTGGAAAAAAAAATCTGCCTGAACTATGAAGCTAGCCTTATCTTGCTTCCATGAATGGCCTTGAATTAAACAGGCTTTGGATCCTCTTCCAGCACTGTTTTCTTTCATCTTTCTTTCCTTTTCTTTTCTTTCTTTCTTTCTTTTCTTTTTTTTTTTTTTTTTTACAATGTTTGACACTTGATCATAGTAGCTGCTTCTTCAACAAGCGAGCTCCTGACTTAGACTTTACAGAAAAGTTTTAAAAATAAAATAAAATGGAGAGAGAATGTGGAATATTTCACAGAGTTCTGTAATTTCCTACTTTTGCCTTAGGCGGTAACAGAAATATTACTGGCAAGAAATATCTAGACTCCTTCCTACTGCAGACTTGAGTGCCTTGAAGTATCACGAAGAGCTCAGCCCGTGGACACGAGCACGGCTGAGCACGTCAGGCTCTGGGGCTGGTCAGGCAGTCGTTGTGCTGGAGTTTTGGAATGGGGAATGGCACGACTGATGCTGCAGATTTCTGCTGCAACCTTATTTGGGCAGTAATTCATTGGCCAGATAAGAAATGCTTTTTTTCTTTCCCGCTTTTCCTGCTGAACTTTGCTTGTTCAAGAAAATAAGAAGAAAGATTTTATGAGTGCATCCATTTTGTTTTATTTCATAATTTTATAAAGTTAGAGAATTAAAGAGTTTTTAACTGCTTTTCAGTTCTCTCCCTTATTAAGTATTTTTGTGCATACTTCAGTATGTGTCATTCTGTGATGCATGAAAAGTGCAAACTCAAATATTCTTTTAGCTCAGCCGTAGCTATGACAGAGTTTTATAGCCTCTTAGTATGTAGCATTGTAGTATGTATTAATTATTTATTTTGAGCAGAAAACTTTCCTGGCATCCTTTGTTATTCTGTATTATAGATGGAATAGGAATTACCTTGTATAAATGCACTTAATAAGGGCATATGTAAAAATTACTTTCATCTTAATGCATTAGTACATACGAGATGAGTATCTGATATCCACTCTGTCACTTTCCTGCCCACTTGCAGGTGATTAAACTGGATAAAAAGAATAACTGGGTTAAGCTAAGCACAGATATGCTTGTTGAAAATGTTAGAGGTTTAGCCACTGCAAGCCTCCTTGCAGGATGATCTCCATCACCAAATTGAGATCTAAGGAGCTCCAGAGGTGCTGAGAGAGTCACGTCAGTCTCAGATGTATAGGTTTTTTGGTTGATTTTGAAGTTCAGGGATGTGAGTGAGGATCATGCTAAACTAATGGAAGAGTCTGATTCATTGTAAGAGTCTTTGCATTACTAACTTATTTTACAAAATCAATTTTATTTCAGATGTGTCATTTGTCTCTTAATAGATGATACAGCAGATTTGCAACTGAACATTTCTTCTTTGATAGCTACACTATATATAGCAAATCTACCCAAATGCTGATTTCTTCTGTTGTTTAAGTTTTCAAGTTATTTTAATTAATTTAAGTTGTAAGATGGCCATGGTTATTTGATTTTTTTTATTTTTTATTTTTTTTTAAGAAAGAAAAACTTGACAATCTCCTTGATTTACAGAAGACATTTGCTAAATAGAAAACTTCTCCCTTGCTTACTGGAACTACTTACAGATTTTGTACCATATGTTAGTATTCGGAGATGCACGATTGAAAAAATGATGAACCTTTACTAAGTTATGCTGTCTGAAACTATTTGATAGTTCTCTACTTCTTTACAGAAAGGGTTGTTAAGCACTGGAATAGGCTCCCCAGGGAGGTGGTTGAGTCACCATCCCTGGATGTGTTTAAAAATGTGTTTGGATCTGGTGCTCAGGGACATGATCTAGTGAAGAGTTGTTAGAGTAGTATGATTAGGTTGCGTTTGGACTCAATGATCTTTAAGGTCTTTTCCAACCTGAGCAATTCTATGATTCTGTGATAGGCTATAAAGTAATAATTTCAAGCTACCTAAACCATTTGAGGGGTGACATGGAAGTACTTTGCCGCAGTATGAGAATTTCTTATGGAGTCACTGTTTGACAGTGATTGAATAAAAAAAAAAGTTCCTACAATATTTACAAATGTGGCCCAAGTGATTATCCTGGAGTACATAAATGTTAACCTCTTTCTATTAAAGTCATTAGCTTCTGAAAGTGGTACTGAAAAATATTGACTTAACAGGTGTACAGTTTCATAGAACAAACTGCCTTCAGGGATATTCTGCAGTGGGGTTCATTTCACAGCATTAAAGCTGACTTTTATTAATAGCCTGCACCCGCCTGTGAAAGACTAAAAATGGTATTGCAGTACTGTGATGTACAAAGGACATTGTATGAGCACTGAACAATCGAACTTGGATTCACTGCAGAAAATACCAATTCCTCCCTCCCCTCAACAAAAAATAGCGTAGAAGTCTGGATACCAATGTTTGTAAAGGCATTTAAACCATCTCCAATCAGTACGTCATTATTTTGAACACTGCTGTTTACCACTTCAGTTTTACTTTCATGCTGCCACTTCTTTAGATGTGTTCAGTACTGAGCAAAAATCCAAATAGGAATTAACTGCGTACACAAGAGATGAATCTGGTTTTTGTACAGATCACTCCATACAATTAACATTATGTGATAAACGGGTTTCCATTCTGTAATTAGCTGAGAATTTAATCTTTTTATTGTTTTTAGAAGGCCTTATTAAAGATCAGCTCGTGCACATTGATGCTGTCGCAATGATACTGTTCATCTTGAACTTGTCTGGCATAACTTTATGAACTTCACAAATTCTCTTGCTCAGCTTCTGTTCTTATTCTGCAGGGTCACGGTGGTATGTAAAATCCCTCAATAAAAACTGTCATTTGCCACTTTGCTTAGTGGTTAGACCTCCACAGCATTAAACTAGATGACAGTATCTTTGTGGTGTAGCAGTAACACGCTGCTTACTCAAATAGGGTCGAAGCAATCGTGTGACATGCTCAGTGGAGAGATGCAAGAAACAGCCCAAACTTCAGTTCTATGTCTGAATAGATAACGTTGGTGAGGGTGAAAGACAGTCAGATATGGAGATAAAAAAATGGCTTATCTGAAGGTTTAAGGCAAACTTCTGGAAGAACTCAAAATAGAAGCCAGGTCTCCTGTGTCTCATGAATATTCTCTTTGACTTTTCTTGAGGAAGCATTTGTGCACTGTGAAAAACATCTTGGCAGAATATCTTAGACCTCTTGTTCTGCTGCAGCTCTGTCCCCTTCTTGAGCCTGTACCTTTGCTCCCACTGCACTCTCCAGCTGCCTAAGCATCAAATCATAGCTCTGCTTTTGGGCCTTGCCAGGTGTTTCTTTCCTTCCCAGCCTCCATTGTTTGCACCAGCTTTTGGTATCAACGCTAATATTGGTTGTCCAGTTATTGGTTTTCTTTATGTCTCATCTTCTTCATTGGCAATCAGCTCAGGAGTCTCTCTGCTTAGCTGTCAGCTGGTGTTACTGCAGTTGCAGTCCTATTTTTTTTTCCCCTTTCTCTTTTGCTTCAGACATCATTGTTACCAACTTGCATTTAGTTTACAGAGTAATGAGTTTCTTGCTTTTTTCTTAAATGCCTCTCCCTGAGGCTTGGTAGTTCTTACAGTGCCATCTATGTAAAGCTGCAGCACAATGTTGTATTTTATACTGCACTATTTTCTCAAATTTTGGATGCTGGCAAACCCTGCAGCATTGTAGTTCTGTGAGCTGTGTCCTTTCTTTTTGTCCTTCCTTTGGAAACCCTTTGTATGGCTTTTTGCCCTATCTCCTACAGACTGACTGTGGCCTCCCTAAGTCCTGGCAGCCACCCCTGGATTCAGGCAGCTCAACAAATCTTTTCCGTTCTCTGTCATGCTGAACTAACCCCTTGAGGCTTCCTTTCTCCCACACCCAGTTCAAGCACCTTATTTGAGAAGTCCACATGGCAGTGCTCTTGTCTGACAAACCGCATCCAATGGCTCTACCTACATTTGTCCCACAAAGCGAAACTTGAATCTTCAATTTTTTCTTCTTGCCCATGTGTTTCCTTTCTTCTAAATGTTGTGTGTTGTATACCTGCTGTCTCTTTATGAGTGCTTCTGTGGGCTTTATGGAACTGAAGTAACCTGTTATGATTTAAGCTTGCTTTGATAAACCTTCAGAATTCTGCAGTATAAAAGGTATTAAATCAGAAATCAACTACTCATTGAGCTGTTTAAAGAAAATGGAATATGTTTGGAAACTTCACCTCTACTTTTCATTCCTGCTTTAGGTTATGAATTTCTTTAGCATTGAGACTAGCCAGTGGTTTTGTACAAAAACAAAGAGTTGTTTGGCTGCTTTATCATACCTGTGCATGTAAGGATATTTGGAAAAAATCTCATATCAATCATTTGTGGCCTGGATAAAAAGAAGGAAAAAACAAGTGAAGTCCTGCTTTCCTAAATTAAAAAGAAGAAAAGCTCCTAGTAAGGCCTGTGGCAAATTACCAAGGTTATTGGGAAGGTTGAAGAATGGGATTGGGAATTTTTGCATTAATAAAAACCCAAAATGACTGCAAAATGAGAGGAAAAGAAATTGGAATTATTTAAATACATAGTCTAATAATGCATTTTGGTTTTGGTTCATTCAGGACAGCATAATTATCTGTGTGCGGGAAGGAATGACTGCATAATTGATAAGATTCGGAGGAAGAACTGCCCAGCCTGTCGATTACAGAAATGTCTGCAAGCTGGAATGAATCTAGGAGGTAAGTAGAATATTAATAGTTTGGTCTCTTAATTTGATTAGGCAAAAATATTGGAAATGTGCAGCCTTTTTATAGTTCTGGCAGCTGCACAATCTCAAAAGTTTAAGGTGGAATTATCCTGAAGAAGTGCTTAATAGCTAATAAACTCTATTGTCATTCTAAATCAGCTTTTGGAGATATGTATTTTATGGCTCAGAAAAAAGAAAAGTGGGTGTTTTATGATGACAGTAATTTTCCTGGAATCTCATATAGGTAAAAGTGTTAAGGCTTCAAAGCTTGCATAATTTTTTTTTTGTGATAAGCATTCTGTAGACTACTGAAAAATGTTTCTATGCCATCATGAAAAGCAAATGTACACACAGTGAAATCTCTTAGCTTTTTTGTTGTTGCTTATTTAACATTTATATTGATTTATTTCTGCAATTGTATGTATTTGCAATTATTTTGATGATGTTACTCTGTTATTTATATATCCTCATAACAAAAAGACAAAAACTTTTCTTAATAATTATCAAAAGTATTTTAAAAACTGTATTTTAACACAACTTATAATAGCTTTTTTGTTGTTTTAATTCTTCAATTACAACATCTACATAATTCTGGCTGTGCTTCAGTAAGTATCATGTTACGAGTCATCTCCCTGAGCAAATTGTATTATAAATCACTTCTTCCCCCCAGCTCTCAGGTTTATCATAGTGTCTACGACTGGGACTCTTGGTACTGCTACAGGTCCTTTCCCTGATGCAGGGAGTGACTCTCTCCTTAGAATGTTTTCACTGTTCCAGAAAATCGTAACATGGTCACATATTTCCTGCAAATTATTTTCTCTATCTCAATTTGTTTTTTTTTATCTACCTGGACTCCTTCTCCTGGTAGTTTAGTTCTATAGACACATTTAGCTGCTTGTCTTTAATAGGATCTGTGCAAACTCCAGGCTCCTGTCTGCTGCCTGGTATGTTTTCTATCTCCCCATCCTTTTCTGCCCTACCGCCTGGCAGAATGCTCAAGGAAAACATTCCTCACTTTTCTGGGAGAGTGACCTCACTTTTTTTCCCCATTAGGACCTTCTTCACATCTTCTTGCAATTTTGACAGGCTGCATTAACTCCTACGCTCCTTGTTTCTCTTTCCCTGAAGAAAACAGGAACAAATCATGGTATACTGTGAGCTGACATCTCCCCTGATTTTGGTCTACTCAGTTGAATCTAGCAAGGGAAGCAGGCCATTAGCTTTGTTTGATGAATCAGGGGCTCACTGGTAGCAGCTTCTTCTTTTCTTCCAAGAAAGGAGCTCCTAATCTGAAAATGTGTGTGGAGCAGGAAGCCCAGATTTCTGGATTGCTAAAGATTTTGCTGCAGTGCGCATGCAGTTCATGAGCTTTTCTACTGCTTCATCCTGCACTGTGCAAACAGAGCTTCTGCAAGCATGCCTTCTTTGACAAGCATATGTGCGTCGTATTCTAGCAAAGTATAGGGCTACCATCCTGCTTGATAATCTTCTGTAGGAACTTGTGATTTGTCTCTAGTGTAGTGAGTTCATCTCTGACTTTTCCTGATGTGCTTCAAACTGTGTTCACACAAAGTCATCTACAAAAAAAAAACCCAACAGGACTGGGGGTAAGCTTAGCTAGGATTCCTATTTCCAAAAAGTCAGAAGGATCGTGATGCCCCGCTTTCACAGTCTGTATTCATACTGAAAATGAAGATCAAGTGAGCTTTTGCCCTTCTGCTCCACAGTGCAGAACTTCTCACCAGAGTGCTGTACTTAAGGAATGCACTATAAAGTCTTCCTTTGTGTTAGATTTTGGTAATCTACTGGAATTTGCTTGCAAATAGTGATCTTTGTTTAATGACCTAGAAGGCAGAGCCTATATCTACAATACAATTGTAGAGGCAAGCAGTTGAGCTGTTCTGGTGATTTTCTTCTCTTAGAAAAAGTAAGATCACAGAATGGCTTGTGTTGGAAGATGATCTAGTTCCAACCCCCCTGCTGTGAGCAGGCTTGCCAACCACTAGATCAGGCTGACCAGGGACCTCTCAAGCCTGGCCTGAAACATCTACAGGGATGGGGGGATAGACAGCTTCTCTAGGCAGCCTGTTCCAGTGCTTCACCACCCTCTGAGTGAAGAATTCATTCCTGAATCTAACCTAAGCCTGCCTTCTTTCTGGTTATATCCATTTGCCTTTGTCCTATCATTGTCTACCTTTGTAAGAAGTCAGCCCCCCTCCTGCTTGTAAGCTCCTTTCAAGAATGGGAATATCGCAGTGTGGTCTTCCTGGAGGCTTCACTTATCCAAGCTAAACAGTCCCAACTCCCTCAACCTTTCATCAATAGGAGAGGTGCTCCTGCCCTTTGATCATCTCTGTGTCTCTTCTCTAAACCTGTTCCAACAGCTCCATGTCCTTCTTGCACTGGGGCCCAGGCCTGGATGCAACACTCCAGATGGCGCCTCACAAGGGCAGAGAAGAGGGGAGCAATCACCTGCTTCTCCCTGCTACCCAGCCTTTTTTTGATGCAGCCCAAGATAACACTAGCATTTCAGGCTGCATGACCACAGTGCTGGCTCATGTCCAGTTTTTTGTTCATCGGGACCCCTAAGTCCTTCTTGATGAAAGTCTTGTTCATGATTCAATTCCTTTATGCCATGCAAAGAAACTAAAAGATATAGAACAGTCTTTCCATCACTGCAGTAGATAGTACAGAAACAGCTGTGCATGTAGATGCAGTATAGTGCCTTGTGCATGGTCCAGTAGAGAAAGGCCAATTTGGAGATAGTGGGGAAGACTGTGAGAGAGAATTAAGGTGCCTTGAGCCTGGAGACTGTATTTACCATTCAGAAAATCCCAGTGGCTGCCAAACTATACTAAGAGCTTTCAGTTTCTGAGATGTCCCAAGTCTTGCAGGAAATCATAGCAGCCTCAGCAGCTAATGGCTTTAAGCTTTCCCAGTAGCAAACATTGCATTGGGCATCTTCAGAAGAGCAACGTAGAATTTCAAACTTAATTTTGGGAACTTCTGTGTCCTGTTGCAGGGATTTCTGAGATGATGGAGTTCATCATGAAAAAGGGAAGTGAAAATGGCAAGAAGAGATATTAATCCATATTTGCAAACAGTAATTTTGTTTTCATAGACATTTCCAAGGTTTGATACTAAGCAACAATTTTTCATAATTAACATGAATGTAAAGAGTATGGTCATATTATTATGAAGATACATCATAGCTTGGAGTTTCACATTCAGTTAACCTAGTTTTGCCAGGAATATACTTTTCGACTTCTACCTTTTTCTAGCTTGGACTTAGAAGCAAAATGCTCAAGTATTTTGTTAGGCATTGTGAGCAGTAAAGAGCTGGAGGAAAATGAATTTATAAATGCAGTTTAGTTTAAATCCCACTTGCAGCATAGTACTCTCTATAGCTGAGTCACACTGCACGGTTCTATGCTCTTCGTGCTGTAGATGTAATTTAAGCTCTCACCCTCCAAATGGAAGCAAAGGTGAACACAAAAAAAACAAATTGCATTGAAGATGCTTATGTGTTTAGTTCATGGGAAAGATAGCAAGTTATGCAGAAGGGCTCAGGGCTGAAGACTGGGCAAGTTGCTGGAGGTATGGATGTTTCTTTTCTACTTAATTATAACAACTTATTCACTCACTTGAAAAGAACAAGAAAGAAGGCACAACAGTCGATGTGGAAGAAATGTTGCTGTAGATAACAAGATTCTGTCTCCCATGGGGCTGGAAAAGAAGTTGACTTTTTTTTGCATCCCTCCCTTTCTATGATGAGGCTGCATCTCTGGACCTCGCATTTGTAACGTGAAAATTTCTGATTGTCTTTGTACTGTTACTGTGAAGATACTGATTTCTGTAGTGGAAATGTGAGATAAGAAGGGTTTTTCCATGCTTCCCGCAACACATTTTTGCTCAGTCCATGATTAATCTATTGTTCTTTGTGTTTTGGGTTTTCTTTTTATTATATTCTTTTTCATACATTTTTTAAAATGCTCTTTCTTCCATTGGCTGTGTCAAAGTACTCATTTGTTTTGATCAGTTATCTTTGACTTCCCAGCATACTGACAATTTTTTCTTGGGGAAAAAAAAAATATTTTGATGTGTGGCAGCATGCCATGCTTTAAGCACCTTTTACAAAAATGCTTGTAATTCAGAAATACATCTACACTTGTTCATAAATGCTCAACAAAATTAATGTTGCAGTTTTATTGTTTACCTTCTCCTTTTGTTTGTTAAAAAATTGTAGAGTTCTCATTGCTCTCATCCTCTAATAGACTTCAGAGAATTATTCATCAAGCCAGTAACTAATTTACCTAATTATGTTCTTTTCTCCATTTTTATTTTGATTTTACAAGAAGCATCTGCAACCTGTAATTTCTGCAAAGCTGAAGTTGCCAAATATCAAATTAAGTCATCCTCCTTGTTTCTAGAAAGTGTGCCTGTGCACTGCAGACAGACATAGCCCTTCAGCAAGCAGGACTCTACAACTTTTTTGGGAATCACAGTTTATTTGTTGTGTTTAAAAGAAAAAAAAAAAAAAAAGAACAAAAAACCTCCGGTACCATATGCTAGACTTAATTATTGGAAGAGATTCAGAGTGAGCAACTGCACTATGAAGGTATGCTGGCCCATTTTTGGTTTATGCTCTTTTGAAGATTCTTAATTAATTTTCAGTTAATTATGGACCAGAATGACTTCATGAGTTGTGAAGTTTCTTCCAGCATACGCTGCGATCAGATTTGTCGAGTCTCTCACTTCCGCACGAAACATTTTCATTCTCCTCCCACCTCATGCTGCTGTTCTTTTGTTATACCCATTGCATGGCAGCAGCAGGGGGGTCACACTCAGTACCCTTAACCACACGCAGGTGCTCAGTGTGGCTCCCTATACACCATCAGCTGCACCCAGCTAGGCAGCTAGAGGCTTGCAGCAGGGCCTGGCGTGCTGCATTTCAGCCAGGGTGGCTCAGACCCTCCAGGTCTCACTCTTGCT